CAATGGCAGCCCCACCGATTTCTTTCCTTCATCTAGAGGCCTTAGACAGGGCGACCCCCTGTCCCCCTCCCTTTTCGTCCTTGCGGCGGACTACCTCTCTCGCTGCCTTGACGGTTTCATCCGCGACCTTCCTCATATGACGTATAGCACCCGTGGCTATGGTCCTCCCATCTCTCATCTCTCTTACGCGGATGACATCATCATCTTCACCCGGGCAGATGATGATGGACTGGTCGAGCTCATGCGCCTTTTGGAGCACTATGGCTCGGTTACCGGTCAGCTGGTCAGTGTGCAGAAGAGCACATTCACTCTCTCCTCTTCCAGCGTGGCCAGGTGGGCTCAGCGGGTCCACGACATTACTGGCTTTGCGCGTGGCGACCTTCCGATTACCTACCTTGGCGTCCCTTTATATAAGGGCAACCTCACGAGAGCGCTCTTTGCGGGTGTCAGGCAGAGGATGATCGACAGGATCTCTAGTTGGTCGCATAGACATCTTTCTTTCGTTGGTCGGCTTGCGCTGATCAAGAGCACTCTTAGCTCTCTTCTGATTCACTTGGTTATGGTCCTCGACCCCCTAGGTCTACTCTTGACGAGATAGACCAGATTATGGATCGTTATTTCTGGGGTTACGAGGACGGTTCTGGGAGGGGGAGACGTACGCACTGGGTGAGTTGGGACTCCATCTGTCGCCTCCTCCCCGAGGGTGGTCTTGGCATCCGCCGCCTCAGGGACATTGTTACAGCCTTCTCATACAAGCTGTGGTGGCGCTTCAGGGAAGGAAGGTCGCTTTGGGCTCAGTACCTTCACGGCAAGTACTGCCCTAGACGTGCTAACCACCCTTGTTGGGTGACGGCTGTTGATCATGATAGTAGGCAGTGGCGGCGCCTCACTAGGGTTGGTAGGCGCGCCCAGGATCACATCTTCTAGGTTCTGGGCGAGGGCGATGATAGTTTCTGGGATGAGTGGCGGGTAGGTGATAGGCCGTTGTCTAGAGATAGGCAGGTGTCGCATTCCCCCTACCTGCTTGTGAGCGACCTCTGGACGGACGGGTCGTGGGATAGGAGGAAGCTTGATAGGGAGTTGGGGTCTGGTGCGGGTTTTAGCGGGCATTTATTAGATCAGATCCAGCAGATCCATATCTCGGGGGACGGTTCAGATAGCATGAGGTGGAGACTTACATCATCGGGTGTGTTTTCTACTACCTCGTCTTGGGAGCAGATAAGGCTAAGGGATCGACCTAAGAGAGACACATTTCACTCCTCATCGCATTGGGCAGGCTCACGGCCCGAGACTGGACAGGCTGCACGCCACCACATCGCTTCATGGTGGCCCCACCACCGCCTGTTCGGCACCCTCGGCCCAGAGCTGTTGTTTGGCATCGACCTGATTCTCCGTGGGTCAAGCTGAACACTGATGGCTCCTTTGATCGCCACACTGTATTTGCCGGAGGAGGAGGCTTGATCTGGGACCATAGCGGCGCCCTCATCACCGCTTTTCACGCGTCCCTTCAGGCCTTCTCGAGCTATGATGCAGAGATTCAGGCATTACAGATCGGCCTTCAGATTGCTGCCCACCTCTCTAGCCACATTTGGATCGAGCTAGACGCTGCGGCTGTAGTCACCCTTTTGACCTCGGGCCACCAGGGCTCGTGGTAGATTCAGCACCCGCTTATGCGTATTAGAGCTCTACTCCGGTCTGTCCATCACAGGATCACACACATTTTTCGTGAGGGGAACAGACCTGCCGACTATCTGGCCAGCCTTGGCGCTACCATACCAGACACACATACATTTCAGACTGACACTGCTCCACTCCGCCTTCGCATTCTTGTACGGATGGACCAGCTGGATATCCAGCGTTCCGCTTTCAGTAGGTTAGGATTTTTGCTTTCATTGGTATAGACATTTATTTCGGGCATCTGTTAGCCCGAAGATCGACTTTGTATTGTAGTTTTTGTTTCTTTTTCGTTTTTCGGCTTTTCTTTTTTGTTTTTCTTTTGTTTTTGATTTTGATTAGTGAGACTCTGTAGACTATTGTATCTTGCTCGTTGATATTTTGGGCCCCCAATTTTGGGGCCCTGATCTAAAATAAAATAATAAAAAAAAAAACCTAGCAGCAAGAACGAAATAACCTAGCAACTTAAGACAACTAATCTAGCAGCATCAGACAACTAACCTAGCAGTAAGAAAGAAATAACCTAGCAACAAAAGACAACTAACCGAACAACATCAGACAACTAGCCTAGCAGCATCAGAAACTAACCTAGCAGCAAGAAAGAACTAACCTAAGTGGTACAATTTCAACCACCTTCTAGTGTCTTTCCACCTCCCCGAGGACTACAACGAGGTCTGGCTTAAGACCTCGATTCATTTGTGTGGATGCCCAGCTAGGGTATTCAAATACTATGTCGGGTTTAACCCGAAGACGGAGGTGCCGGTGGTCCCCGTGTGGTGCCGTCTTCCCGGCCTCCCACCCCATCTTTACGATCGTGCTGCCATCACTACACTTGCTAAATGTATTGGGCAGCTGATTCGTATCGACGCCCTGACGGCCCTTTAGACGAGGGCTAACGTGGCGCGATTTTGCGTCGAGATAGATCTGAGAGCTGAGCTCGTCCATGAGATTGAGATTGAACAGGGCTCGGAGTCCCTAGTTCAGCGGGTGATCTATGGGAAGATCCCAGCGTTCTGCACCTTGTGTAGCCACGTAGGTCATATTGCGGCAGATTGCTACACCAGTGGCAATAAGCCACGGCCCACGCTCCCGCAGCGCCATCGTGCGGCTCAGCCTGGGCCCTCCACTGGCAGGAGGGACCCCAAGGGAAAGGACAAAAGCCCTCTCCGTGCGCCCGAGACCCCGAAGGGGTCTAAAGATAAGGGCAAGGCTGTGATTGACGCCACTGCCCAAACTGGGAAGGATGCTCACCCTAACCAGCATAAGCAGTTGGCCATAGTTGGGCCAAAGCCCAAGTCCACGGGCTTTCTTCCTAGACAGACCCTCCAGTCGGCCTTCAAGGCCAACCACTCGTATTTTGCTGTTCTCTCCCCACAGGCAGAGAATGAGGCCGCGCCTTCCACCAGTGGCCCACCTAGGATCACTGACCTCACGCTTCTTGACGAGGACGATCTCCTTGTCGACGATATGGACCAGTCGGTTGCCTCGCCCAGGGGCGAGTCCATCCATTTACCCGATGACAGGTGTCGCATTCCCCCTACCTGCTTGTGAGCGACCTCTGGACGGACAGGTCGTGGGATAGGGGGAAGCTTGATAGGGAGTTGGGGTCTGGTGCGGGTTTTAGCGAGCAGTTATTAGATCAGATCCAGCAGATCCATATCTCGAGGGACGGTTCAGATAGCATGAGGTGGAGACTTACATCATCGGGTGTGTTTTCTACTACCTCGGCTTGGGAGCAGATCAGGCTGAGGGATCGGCCTAATCTCTTCTTCGGGGCCATCTGGAGTGACATTTTCACCCCTACTATTTCGGTGTTCCTTTGGCGCCTACTACAAAAAAAGTGACATTAAGTAACAAGAAGTTGTAACATATTTTAGAGTAGGGATTTTATGTAACATGTATTTGTAACATATTATACAATGCAATATTTAGGTAACACTTTTGTAGCATTTTATGAATATGTAGCACTTGTATACGGGGGCGGATTCATGCATAGGCGAGCCTGGGCAATTGCCCAGGCTGAATTTTTATTATTAAGTATAGGTTATAGCATCTTTTAATAGAGATTTTGGGTGGAAAAGGGCAAAAAATGAAGCTGTATGCGCGCAGGGAAGAAGAAGACCTGGTAAGAATTTTTTTTTTTTTAAGCTTGCAAAAACGACGTCGTTTTTGGCTTCCATTTAATTAAAAATTTGGAAGCCAAACGACGTCGTTTAACTTAAGAGATAAATAAAAAAAAAAAGTTAAAATACTTTTTCTTTCACATGCACGCAGGTATAGAGACAGATAAAAAAAAAATACGTTCTTTCTTCACACCTCACAAGAAGATCCCCAAATTTCTGTCATTCTGTGAGAAAAAAAAAAATTCCCCTCATTTCAATCGGTCGTGCGAACAGCGAAGTCCACCCAACTCTCATCAAATCATCTTCCATTTTTAATTCGTCCACTCATATTGAATCGGGCATAAATATAATCCAAAATAAATTTCTTTTCAATTCTCAAGGACGATTGATCGAGATTTCTCCCCTTTCATTCTAATGTAAGTGTTTATGTTCAATTATTCATATCAATTTTTTTTTTTATACTTTAAATTCAGATTTTTGTTTTATTAAGTATGTTTTTCTCTTTTTTGGGTATTCTGTTGTAGTGTTGTGTCTTGTGCGTATGGAGTACAATTTATGCAGATGACAACAATTAGCATTTTATGTTGAGGATATTCCTTTTTGAAAACAATTATAATTGTTTGATTAGTTTTTTGGTCTTATTTATTGAGGGGAAATATGGACTAGTGAGTACAGTTTATGTAAGAACAGGAAGTCAGGAACTGTGATTGCGAATTGATTTTCTTTTTTTCCCATGGGCTGGCTCAGATTTAAATTCATATTTTGTTTTTATTACATTATGTATTTGTGCTAGTGTAATAATTATGAGTGGGATTTAGGTGGGACGTGGGAGCCTGGGAGGAGAATATATTTCATAGTGCACATTACATAATTGTAAGAGGAGTATCAATTTTGTCCACAACTCAAAAAAGGATAACCCAGAAAAAAGAAATTAATTAGCTCCCATGATGAATGGCAATTGACAGATGCTAAAAATGGTTGATGTCAAACCTTTCTTTCTTTTTTTTTTTTTTTTTTTTTTTTGAGTTGTTGGATGTAATTTTGGGGTTTTCATGAGTGTTGGTAGCCTGGTACTATTACTTGTACATAAATTTATTAGTTCACAATTATCAAAATGAGTTTGTTGATGTTGATGAGTTTTTTCTTTGAATTTGGTAATTTCTTATGTTAATTGAAATCATTGTTGATTGCAGACTTACATTAATGGAGAAGTACTACCGAAAAGTATCAAATTTAGAGGAACCTTCAACTCTTTTGTCGTCTAAGAAGAAAAGTAAGCTCGATAATCAAAATTCAAAGAGAACCGAACTTGACGAAAATTCACAGAGCACCGAACTTGACAAACTTCTAGAAAATCTCCCTTCAGATCCAGCACGTCGAAAGCGTATCTTAGATTACGATCCAAATATTCGCGATCAAGTTAGACGACATTATCTACTCAAGGGCCCCTGTCAACCTCGAAGCCATAAGTTTCCTCAACGAGACATCTACGGGACTAAGCGCAGGTTTAATTCTTCTTGGTTTGATGACCATGTTGAATGGTTAGAGTATAGCATAGAGAAAGATGCTCTATTTTGCCTTTGTTGTTATCTCTTTAAACCGGAACATGGTGACCAAGGGGGTAGCGATACGTTCACAGCTACAGGTTATAATAATTGGAAAAATAAACAGGGGGTTAAAGATCATGTCGGCACCGTTGGTAGTGTTCATAATCGTGCTCTGTTGCATTGTCAAGCTTTAATGAATCAGAAACAACACCTTGAGTCACTTATTAGTCGTCAAGTGGAAGTCTCTAAAGAGAATTATTATACTCTCTTGAATGCTTCAATTGATTGTGTCCGTTTCTTGTTACGACAAGGTCTTGCTTTTCGTGGTCATGATGAATCTGAATTCTCAAAAAATAAAGGAAATTTTCTTGAACTTTTGGAGTTTCTTGCTGAACATAATGATAGTGTTAAGGCTGTCGCCTTTGAAAATGCACCAAGAAACCTTCAGTTGAAGTCGCCTAGTATACAAAAAGACATTATAAATGCATCTGCTGTTGAGACTGTTAATGCAATTATGTGTCAAATGGGTGATGCTCCATTTTCTATTTTGGTTGATGAAGCTCGGGATCATTCGATAAAAGAGCAGATGGCAGTGGTTCTACGGTTTGTTGATGCTAAAGGTGAAGTAATTGAAAGATTTGTTGGCATTGAACATGTTCAAAGTACTGATGCACATTCTTTAAAGCTTGCAATTGATGAGCTACTTTCTAGAAATGGGTTGAGCATATCAAATCTTCGAGGGCAAGGCTACGACGGGGCGAGTAATATGCGAGGCGAGTTTAATGGTCTTAAGGCACTAATTTTGAAAGAAAATAGTTGTGCCTTTTATGTTCATTGTTTTGCCCATCAACTTCAACTTGCACTTGTTGCTTTAGCCAAAAATCATGTTGGGGTTGCTTCTTTTTTTTTTCATGGTGACAAGAGTCCTCAACCTTGTTGGAGCATCATGTAAACGTCGTGATCTTCTTCGGGAGCAAAAACGATCTGAATTAATAGAAGCTCTCTACAATGATGAGCTCCCAAGTGGAAGAGGACTAAACCAAGAAACTGCTCTTAAACGTCCAGGTGACACACGTTGGGGTTCCCATTATAATACTTTGTTGAGCATTATTTCTATGTTCTCTTCTATCATTAAAGTTATTGAAATGATAATCGAGGATGGGGCTAGTGCTGATTAAAGAGGAGAATGTAATTTGTTGCTTGTACAGATGCAATCCTTTGATTTCATATTTTGTCTTTTTCTTATGAGACATATTTTAGGTGTAACCAATGAGTTATCACTAGCATTGCAGAGGAATGACCAGGATATTGTCAGTGCTATGGATTTGGTCAAGGCAAGCAAACAACAACTCCAAAAAATGAGAGAAGAAGAATGTGAATGGGAAAATTTATTGGAGAAGGTAAATTCTTTTTGTAATAAGCACGACATAAATATTCCGAACATGGATGATATGTTTATTGCTCAAGGAAAATCTCAGCGTAGGGCTGAGAAGTTAACGGTCTTTCATCATTATCGAGTGGATGTGTTTTACTCGGTGATTGATAGACAACTTTCAGATTTGAACGACCGCTGTAATGAGGTAAACACCGAGCTTCTCATTTGTGTTGCAAGCTTGGCTCCGGATGATTCCTTTTCTGCTTTTGACAAGCAAAAGTTAATTCGCCTTGCTAAATTCTATCCGAGAGATTTTTCTGAAAGAGATGTGTTAGCACTTGAAGACAAGCTTGATATCTACATTAATGATATGCGTACGAATACTAATTTTTCCCAACTCAAAGGACTTGGCGGTCTTGCAAAGAAAATGGTCGAGACAAGAAAGCACATAACTTATGCATTCATCTACAAGCTTCTAACTTTGGCTTTAGTTCTTCCAGTTGCTACAGCTTCAGTGGAAAGAGTATTTTCGGCTATGAATCTCGTGAAGAGCCCACTCCGCAATAAAATGGGAGATCAATGGATGAATGATAGTTTACTTGTTTATATTGAGAAAGATGTATTTAATAGCATTAGCAATATGTGTATACTTTTTAAAAAGTGGTAATATAATCAAATAGCCATATAAGTTTATAAAAAAACAAATGAAAAATGACCATTTCTTTTAAGGAAATAAAATCTACCATTTAAGTATGTAATTAAAATACTACTTTACCCATTAACTCAATTTTTCATTTCCCCCATTTTGGAACGTGGTTCCATTCAAAGTAAAATTAAAAAAAAAAAAATATAGCAACAATAAAAGAAATAAGGAAATGGAAAAGCTGGAACAAGTACACTATACGGCAAAGGTTAAGTGAGGGCACTGGAGAGGTATGTCCGCCGCCGCATACTACTTCAACTCAGGGCTGAGGAATCCCGTAATACAGATTATTCAATTTGTCAGAACTTTGTCCCTTCGTTTATCAAGGTAAATTTTATTTCAAGTGGGTTTCTCTTTGAGCCATTTGTTCATGTTAATTAAGCATTAGTTCGATTCTTGAATTTGATATGAATCTGATGATTTGCCCTTGAAATTTAAAAATGATTATATTAGAAGGTTTTGGTAACATTGTGATAAACTGTGAGCAAAAACTGATGAAATTGATAGATATACTGATAATTGGAGCTCTTTTTCTATTGTGGTTTGGAAAGGTTTGAGATTATTAATCAGAGTCAAAAGAATCCAAACATTCCTCTTTAAATAATACAAATTTGTTCTTTTTTTTGTCATTTTTTCTCACAATAATATGATTGTATATTTCTACCATCCGAAGAAGTTGTAAGCATCTCTTTTGCCTTTAGTCATGTACCACAGTTCTCTGATTGTAGGCTTATCTGGGAACGTTTGGTCGTACTTGTTGAATATGTTTTCGAAATTGAATGCAAATACAATAAAAGGCTAATACAAAGCTCGAGTACATTTTAAAATGGATTCTTTTCGAACATTGATTGGTCATATTCCGTCACTCATCGTCATAGGTACAACTTATTCCCTTTATGTGACTCTTAAATTTTTTTAATATGGAATTAGTTCTACAATTATAGCTCATTAGCATTTGCGAGTATTTATTTTAGCATTTTATCAGTTTTGTAAAATACGAACTAGACTGCCAAATATCGGTAAAAAAATTTATCTAAACATCCTACTGGACAAAATGAAGCCGTTTTATAAAATAAAGGCGCCTTTTGCTTTTCCATTAATATGTAGCTGAGTTTTTCAAATTTATTTGCTATTGTAGAGTTTGATGCATTATGTAATCACCACAAATGCATTTATCAATTTATTCGAAAGTGGCTTTGATCCACTTGCTTGCTGCTCGATTCAAGCGAATGACATACCTATGTCGCAATGCTAGTTACTTAATCCAAGCTATATGTTTTTCCTATGCAAGTCGTGTCACATAAGGAAAAAAAAGGGTAGATATTGATCCAAAATGTGTTATCTGTTGTGGGGCTGTTGAAACTGTAGAACACATACTATTTTCTTGTCCTCGAGCACAATCAACTTGGAACTTTTCTCCTGTGAAATGGGATGGACTGCACTGTTATACAGATTCATTTAAGGTCTGGTGGTACAATATTTGTTCTGTGGGTCATTCTGAAGTAGCCGAAGCACGAATACAATTGACTACATATATACTTTGGTGGCTTTGGAAATCGAGAAACATATGGGTTTTTCAAAAATCTTTGATACCAGAATTCAAGTTGCTGCAAATTGCTCTCTCAGACTGGTTGGCTTTCATCTCAGCTGCGGATTTTTCATAGATTTTCTTTTCTTTGTTTGTTTTGTAGGGGTATTTTTCTTTGCTAGGCTTTTTAGCAGTGGCGGGAAATTTATCTTTGTTATCTTTTATTCCTTTGTCAGATCGACTCGGATTTTCTTTTATTGAGGCTCTAGGCCACATCCTTTTGTGCGCCTCTCAGTTTTTTTATTTTCGGTGTAGTTGATGTAGTTGATGTATTTCTGAACGATGTATTCGGACCTTGTTCGCTTTTGAGTTATAATAGTTACCCTATCGTTTTGGAAAAAAAAAAAAAACTTCGTAATTCATGTAAGTTGTATTGAATATTAAAAAGAATTATTTTCATACATTGGATTCTTTATGCTTGGCATCTAGCTAAAGATATTATTCTAGTCGAGCCGGTCGAATATCTCATGTTCGAACTTGGAACACTAGGAACAATTTCATATGGATGCTACAACTACTTTCTAGACTCTTTATGCGTTTAAGGTTTTTGTTCTTTATCTCATGTCTCGTATGTTGAAACTTTTTTTATCATTTAGCTAAATATAAATTCTTACATAGTATTATATTTTCACTTTTTAATTTAGGTGGGTCATCCCTTTGCCATACATCGTACTATGTATCTCCTAATTTTTCGCATGTTCCAATTTTTATGGAGGTCGAATAATGGGTAATGGAGTCGACAATTGGATCCACTATGCACGGGCAAGTAATGAGTATGAACAAGGAGTGGAGGATTTTCTAAATCATGCATTTTCTACTCGAGCAAAGGGAGATCAAATTAGATGTCCGTGTAAAGATTGCTATGGTCGTTTCTGGCATCGTAGAGATGAAGTTTATAATCACCTTATTTGCATTGGCATTGATCCAAGCAGTAAAGAACGGCATTTCCATGAAAAGAGCCACTCTTCCCAAAATGAAAAGCGAGACTCTGCACATGATGACATCGAAGGCTTAATATATGATACACATCGGGATATTGCAGATAAGTTTTTCGACTCCCATGAAGAACCCTTCCAAGCAGGAATGGAGGCACATGCCAACATGGAGGCTAAAAAGTTCTTTAAGCTAGTTGAAGATGGAAAACAAGCGGTATATCCCGAATGCAAATCATTTTCCAAGTTATCATTCATCATTCGATTGTACCTTTTTAAGTGTATCCACGGGCTAAGTAATACGGCCTTTTCTAATCTTCTTGAGATAATTCAAGAATTAATTCCAGAAGCCGTATTACCTAAATCTTTCAGTGATGCTAAGAAAATGGTGAAGGATTTAGGTCTTGATTATCAGAAGATTGATGCATGCCGGAATGATTGCATGCTTTTCTGGAAAGACCATAAAAGTTCTACATCCTGTCATGTTTGTCATGCGCCGATGTGGAAAGAAGAAGAAAATCAAAATGAGATTAATGAGACTAATTCTCAACATTTTCGCCGTGTTCCAGCAAAAGTTGTTTGGCATTTTCCTTTAAAGCCTAGACTGCAAAGGTTGTATATGTGTGCTGAAACGGCTCAGTATATGAGGTGGCATGAAGAGGAAAGAGTCAAGGACGGGAATTTACGACATCCAGCAGATGCAAAAGCTTGGAAAGATTTTGACTCCTTTTACCCAAATTTTGCTAAAGATTGTCGTAATGTGCGTCTAGGCCTTTCTAGCGATGGATTTAACCCATTTCGAACCATGAGCACAACACATAGTACATGGCCTGTAGTTTTAATTAATTATAATCTACCGCCATGGTTGTTTATGAAGCCGGAATTCCTTATCCTGTCTGGGCTTGTCTCCCCAGGAAATAATATTGATGTTTACTTGCAGCCTTTGATTGATGATCTAAAAGACTTGTGGGAGCTTGGTGTGGGAACTTATGATGCTTTATCTCATCAAACATTTAATATGCGTGCTGCTTTACAAACAATAGTTAGTGACTTCCCAGGTTACGCAATGTTGTCAGGATAGAGCACAAAAGGAAGATTCGCATGTCCTAGTTGTCATTATGAAACAGATCATTTATATTTGAAGCATAGTAAAAAGTCATGTTACATGGGCAACCGAAGGTTTTTGGATGCGAATCATTGTTGGCGGCGAGATAAGAA